CGAACTTGATATTTGCAATTTGGAATCGTTTAGTTGTCAAAAGAAAGAAGCGTTTTTCATGAAATATTCCAAACTAGGCTTAAATGTATAGATTATTAAACGCTTGAAGCACATATGATAAAATTTCTTCTTAGAAGTTGTGTTTTACTAACCCCATTTTCAAAAGAAAATCACTTTTATTCGCCAAGATCAGAACAACTTTTTTTAATACCCTTCTAAAAGCACGAAAATACAAACAAATGAACTTCAATTACGAAACACGACTTCGACTTCGATGGAGTCAACTGAGTCAAGTATAGCGTATAATTGGGAGAAGATCTATTTGCAAACGCTTTCTCAGTTTTCAATTTAAAAGGCGGGTTGAGTGTTTTATTCCAGAAATCATTCAACCAAATTGCTATAGCATGTGCCTTTATTTAGCACCTTTTCGCTCTTCTTACCACAACTAACTTTTTACCTACCCTTTCCTACTTGTCCCATCGTCGTTTATTTTTGGTGCGAAGTGATACGAAAGAATCCTTATGTGTGAGCGAGCGCGTGACACATATTCAGACCCTCACATAATTCATTTCTATTTTTCGCGTATCTACGAGTTAAAACGGATAGTTATAAGTGTTGCTTTTCTTTTTTTCGTGAAAACTGTAGTAGTAAACTTAAACGTTTGAACTTTTTTGTATTTCTTAGTTCTGTTCAGGCTCATTGGCCTAAGCTGCCAAAGTCCGTCTTATAGAATACAACGATTTGCAAATCGATCTGCTACTTAACGTTGAACTGTTTAATTACACTTAGCAAACATTTTGTTTTGCCCTGTTTTTAGTAAGAACCTCCCAAACAAAATGAACCATTCTTAAAATTCTTTAATGCGATACTAACAAAAAAATCTAAATGAAATGCCACAAATTCCATCGAAACAATGTCTGATTTCTTATAAATGTATTTCCATGTTAGTCTCGCATTCACAATACTTTTGAGACGGGTCCATTGCAGTTTGAATCCCTTTATACATACAGTCTTCCCAGTTGCTTGTCAATCTCTTCGAAGCTTTTGTTGTTCAGCACTTTCAATGAACTCCATCTTATTTCTCTACGATATAGAAAACGAAATTCGCATGCATTTTATTTGTGTACAGCTCAAGAGTTTGTTTTTATCCGATGCCCAAATTTCGACTTGTTTTCCCCTTTTAACCCCCTTTGTGTATTTGTTGGTCACGTGACCTTCAGGCACTAAAACGCGTTTTTTTTTGGAAAATAGGGTGTACACCGCTTTTATCTATCAAGCTCAAACGCACTTAATTTCATAGGTATTTAGAGCAGATATTAAGAGCGAAGGTGGTCCGCTAATATCGAGCATCGGCCGGTCACTGTCAAAATTTCGATTCTGCTAATTTTTGGTTTGCTGGAAAGTATTACCGAGTAAACAAACGTGGTGTAGTTAGGTTTTCGAAAAACCGCAAAAATTCTGAGAAATCCTAGAAAATCTGTAGGCCTAGCGGCGATCTCAGAAGTATGCAAATTTTCAGTTTTTCAGTTGAATCAAACAGGTCCAAAAACAACTAACGCATATACAGAATAGGACTGCTTTTATCAAATAGCTAAACCATTATTTTATAGCCATTCAAGTCTCAAACATCTCTTCTATCAATTCATAAACATATAGTGTTCATATTATTTTCCTATTCTGTATGCGTTAGTTGTTTTTGGACCTGTTTGATTCAACTGAAAATTTGCATACTTATGTGCCCTTATGTTTGTTGACATTCGGAAAGAAAAAATTTCAATCTAGCTGGTAAGATGAGTAATTGATCGTCCTCATATTTTCCTTTCCGTATCTACTTTGCTTAGTGATTTTTTTTTTTTTTTTTTTTTTTTTTTTTTTTTTTTTTTTTTTTTGGGTTATCTTGTTGAGGTTTGAAGCGAATTCTGTGATAGTTGATTGTCTGAACTTTAAAAGTTTACCAGACGACTTCAGCAGCCCAGGAGTCAAGTATTGAAAGAAGATATATTTGCTAATACTTTCTCTATAGAGAATAAAGTACTCTAAAAGCTGAATTTTGCTTTTAATTTCTAAATCGGGCTGTGTGTATCAAGGAAACTTTCAACATGCGAGTCTTCAAAAGCGAATATAAAATAATAATTAATTTCTGTGTTTATGATAAATTCAGGTCGATGGTCATAAAGTTTTGCCTCACTGAACTAAATGCTACGACATTTTCAAATTATCTTGACTTATATTTGATCTTGGTCTGTGCTAAATTCAAGCCGATTTAGAGCTTCTTGAGCCGTTGAATCTATATTTTCAAAATGATCCATATTACCAACTCTTAGTAAAACCCTCACGGATACACCGCATGGGCTACCTGTGGTTTCCCTAATGCCAGTGAGTGACACATTTGCATATTCAAACCCCTCTCAATAACTGGTTTCTACGCTTCGCTATCCACGAGTGAAAAACCTTATACGCATTAGGTCACTTTATTTTTTTCTTTAAAAAGCTCTTTATGTAAAGTAGTATTTTAAACAAGACTAATTCCCAAAGTACTCTTGTAAATAAAGTAAACTATTCTCACTGCATAATTGATTAACGTAGATCCTTTGCGGCCCTGGTTATATATCTCCAAACCCGCGTAGGGTTATTCACAGTTGGTCCAACAGTTCCAAAGCTGGGGGTCTTTGTGTCTATGCATAACGACCACTTATACCACCTTCTTAGTTCTACTACCTCCAATACAAATGCCGACTAAGCTGCCGTTTCCAGCATATAATAAACGCCCAGTACAAGTTGACGAGGTAATTTTGCTCCCATTTGTTTAGCGTTTTCGTCGTTTATGTGCAGTTTGTATTGGACTTTTGACGTGGTTCATTTCTATTTCTATCAATGAATCAAAGTTTAGCAATTTTTGTTTGTTTTCGCGTATTTTGGTTTCCACTGATAAAGTTTATTCGAGCGTGGTGGTATTCCATCAGTGAAGTTTAGTGTTCTCGTTGTTACGACTACTTTGTGTTCCACTGATGAAGTTTATTTGTACGTGTTGGTCTCCCGTCCGTGAAGTGTGGCATGTTTTATTGTTTTCGCGTACTTTGTATTCCGCTGATGAATTTTATTCTAGCGTGGTGGTATCCTGTCAGTGAAGTTTAACGTTTTTTTGTTTGTTCTCGTGTATTTTTGATTCTACAGTAGTATTAGGGATGGGGGTATCAGCGCAATCTCATCACAGGGTTTACCTGTGTCGAATATTTCACCATGGAAACAACCCATCCTAAGTGTGGTTGGGGGCAACAGCGCAACCACTTAAATATGTTAGTCTATATATGGAGTGCGATGAATGTAAGAGAACTTTTAAGAAAGAAGCGGACTTAAAGAAGCATTTGAAGATGAAGACGAAATGTATGAGCAGCTATGATTGTGGATGTGGTAAGAAGTTTAAGACTAAGGTTAAGTTGYTTTGGCACTGTCAGAGCTGTAAATATGACTACGACGACCTCAAAAGGGCTTGGAATTAAGGTTAAAATATTTCTAATATATAGATGGAATCGCAAAGCAACTTCGAAACAATATCTATTTCTGCAGAAGGCGAGATCGATGTTAGRCAATTCTGGCGAAAGTCAGTCAAGGAAGTCAAAAGGACGCTCCGCAGAGGCTTAAATGACCTCGGAGCCTTGAAAGCCAGCATAATGGTGGAGGTAAGCTTAACTAAAGACGAATCAAGAACGACAGCGATGTTGAGATCAAAGTCTTTGCTAATCCTTGAGGCCACAAACCTAGACAGGTTGTTGAACGAAGCGTTAGAAGCCATAATGGAGTCACTTGCCAATTACACAAGAGAAGGATCCGGCTGGATGGTAGAAGAAGTCGTGGGAATGGAGGTCAGCATGGCCAGGTACGTCCCGATTCGCGGAGGAAGTTACGTACCCCTACCACCGTGGATCGAGAGGAAGAAAGCAATAGTTAACGTGAAGAACGACAACGACAGATGCTTCATGTGGGCGTTAAGATCAGCCTTGTACCCAGCAGAAAAAGACCCCTGCCGAACAACGAAATACCCCGAGGACGACCTAGAATGGGATGGAGTTGAGTTTCCGATGCAGTTATCGCACATTCCGATATTTGAGGAAATAAACGACCTCGCAATTAACGTTTACGGTGCCCGAGAGCAAACGATTGTTCCACTAGTACTATCAAAGTCCAAAGGAGAGCGCATTCACCTATTTTACCACGGCGGGCACTACTCATGGGTTAAGCACCTCAGCAGACTATTTTACAGACACACGAAGCACAAAGGTAAGAAGTACTTCTGCGACTGCTGCTTGTTATCATTTACATCACTAAAGGATCTCAAAAGACACGACGGTATTTGCCGCGGAGTAGAGGAAGTAGCGCAGCGAATTCAAATGCCCACCAATGTGGAGCTGTCATACGACGACCATAAAARACAAACGAAAGTGCCATACGTAATTTACGCAGACTTTGAAGCTATAATTACGAAGGAAAACAAAGTAAGGGGAGAAACGAAAAAGACGGGGTTGCACGAGATTTGTTCATACGGCTACATAGTTGTGAGACACGACGGGGAAGCGGACCCGCCAGTTATCTACCGAGGTCCAAATGCAGCGAACAAGTTCCTTGAAGCCCTACAAGACGAGGAGRAGGTAATCAGAGATAAGCTGCGGCGCAAGAAGAAGGTCGTATTTACGAAGGAGAACCAAGAAGCATACGCAAAAGCTAAGGTTTGACACGTATGCGACCAAAACCTCTTGCAGTAAAGACGCAGGGCTAAGAAAGCGTGGGACGAGGACGGTAAGTATCTAGGAGAAGCCCACTTTAAATGCGGGGTCTATCACAAGAAAGGCGAGAAAGCCGGAAAGCCATCCACGCACTGCATTCACTGCCACAAGCGGTTTGTAGAAGACTTCTATGTGGACAAAGTAATAGATTATTGTTCTTTGACGGGTGCCTACATTGGWGCCGCGCACTGGAAATGCAAMTCAMACATAGACCCAACCATGGAGATTCCCGTGTTCTTTCACAACCTTCGCGGGTACGATTCCCACCTTCTCTTGCAGGGTACAGACGGTACGGACGTCAAATGCATACCAAACAATAAAGAGCGCTACATGTCCGTAACCGTAGGCAAGCTGAAGTTCTTAGACTCACAACAATTCATGGCGGACTCGTTATTCAACCTCGTGAAATACAACACCGACTTCCCCATTTCCAGTCAATACGGCGCGGAAAGGGAAGGAGTGTACCCATACGAGTACATGGACTCCTGGGAGCGCTTTGAAGAGGGTTTACCCAGCAAAGACAAGTTYTACAGTACCTTAACGGAAACCGGGATAAAGGATGAAGAATACCAGCACGCGCTAGACGTATGGGAAAAGCATTCCTGTGAGAACATGGGTGAGTACCACGACATTTACCTTCGCTCTGACGTCGTACTGCTGGCAGACGTTTTCCAAAGCTTCCGTAAAATGGCTATGGAATACTACGGATTGGACCCCGCAAACTTCTACACCGCCCCCGGACTCTCCTGGAGCACATTGTTAAGGAAGACGAATGCACAGCTAGACCTCCTAACAGAATACGACATGTACCGCTTTATGGAGGACGGCATTCGCGGCGGCGTCTGCGGACCCAGCCGACGTTACGCCAGAGCAAACAACCCACACGTAGAACACGACCCCAACAAGCCCACGACTTACATTTCTTACCTCGACGCAAACAATATTTACGGTTGGGCAATGTCGCAATACCTTCCCGTGCGAGACTTCGAATGGGATGAAGACAGACCCTTAGACTTCTACCTAAATGTAGAAAAGGACGCAGACAAAGGCTACATTCTTGAAGTCGACTTGGAATACCCAACTCACTTACACCCACTTCACGATGACTACCCGCTAGCCCCAGAAGCAATSGAGATACCATTCTCGCAACTCTCGCCACTACAGAAAAGCCTTTGCCCCTCTTACAAGCCGTACCGCAAGCTTACCCTAAACTTAATGGACAAGCATAAATACGTGGTTCACTACCGCAACCTTCAGTTTTACGTGCGACACGGACTCATTGTTAAAAAGATACACCGCGTCCTCAAATTCACCCAAGAGCCCTGGATGCAGCCTTACATTAACTTTAATACCCAGAAAAGAACAGCGGCTAAGAACGACTTCGAAAAGAACCTCTTTAAGTTAATGAACAACTCYGTGTTTGGTAAGACGATGGAAAACATACGCAAGCGGGTAAGCGTAAAGATAGTTAGCACGATGGAAGAAGCGGAGAAGTACGTATCCCAACCAGGCTTCGTGCRCTACGTAGAAATGCTCAACTTCTACGTAATTCACATGAAAAAGGCCAACCTCTTTCTAAACAAGCCCGTCTACACAGGCTTTACTGTGCTCGACCTGTCGAAGTTGCTCATGTACGAGTTTTACTATGACAAGCTAAAGCCAAAGTACGGCGACCGCTGCCGACTCTTATACACCGATACCGACTCCCTCATAATGGAAATAGAAACCCCCGACATTTAYCAGGACTACGCCGAAGACCTCGACGAGTACGACACGTCSGGTTACCCAAAGGAGCACCCACTCTTCTCAAACAAGAATAAGAAGGTAATAGGAAAGATGAAGGACGAAATGTCAGGCAAGCCCATAATAGAGTTCGTAGGKCTCAAACCCAAAATGTACAGCGTACTCAAAACCGACGGTGCAGATAAGAAAGCCAAAGGCGTAAAAAAGTACGTGGTGAAGAAAGAAATCACCCACGAATCTTACTTAAAGGTGCTACGCACACGCAAGGAGACGAAACATTCTATGAACAGCCTGCGCAGCTACGGACATCAAATACACAACGTTACGCAGGAGAAGGTGTCCCTGTCAGCATTTGATGGTAGGAGATGGATGTGCGACGATGGCATCCATACGATAGCATTCGGACATCACACGATAAGCAGTTCTTCTTTGACGAACCCACGTGTGGGACCATCATGAAGATAATACAAGATGGGCTG